CCGGAACAAAAAAAATAAAGTTGGTTTAGAGTTGCTGAAAAGTGATTTTTCGTATTCAACACACCCGATAACCCAGAAGATTTTCTATTTTTGACTCGGGGTACTTCCGAAAGTTTAAGAAAAATTTTGAAACAAAATGGCGCAAAAAGTTTTCCATGGAAAAATAATATTAATTTGAAAACTTTTCCCAAACTTTCGGAACTACCTCGGGCCAAAAAACAGAAAATCTTCTGGGTTATCGAGTGTGCTGAATACGAAAAACCACTGTTCAGCAACTCTAAACCAACTTTATTTTTTTTCCGGTGATATGAAAAAAATAAAACTTCAGTGCTGAGAAAAAAATGACATTAAAATCCGCAAAATGATAATAAACATGTTTGAAAAACCTTTTTGTTTTGCAATAGGCATTTATTTATACAACTTCTACACCTTTTATAGAGCTTTCGACGGCTCATCTTTTGAAACAAAATCAAGATTCTATCATTTCCTTTAGTCTAGATACATACAAAATATAAAAGTCTTCCGAACATTTTTATTACGTTAAATACGGTGGAAAGTAGCACTATCATGTATGTCTTTTTCTTTATCATTTGTCTGTGGAGATATATTCGCAAAACAAACTATGTTGTGAACATTTTGGAGCACTCGGGATTTCAGAATGTTTAATACGTATTTTGACTATAATATCGTCAGTTCTCAATGAAGTACTTATCAACCGCTCTTGAAAATTTTACCCGATGTCTAGCTGTTGTTCGTAGAGGTTGAGTAGATGACGATTCGATCTAGATAATGAAATGTTGATAACATTGTTGATAGCGAAGTTAATAGTGAATTTTCTGCTCGTCGATTAGTTTACGCTGAATTTGTGCGAATTAGTGCCCCCATATGTTATTGATTTTCGTTATATTTCAAATCTACAAACATTCATCTAAAATCTTGACTTCTTGAGATTTCTTGAATTCTTACATTTCTTATCAAAATCTTAAATCAAGATCTTACTGGAAAAATTCAAAAAGTCAAGCTCTTGCTTATAATACGTTCCACTAGGATGTGAAGAAAGTGACAAACAACAATGTGATAAAGGAAACCGAATAAACAGTAAAATTTATACTGGTTCTATAGAAACGGCATTAATTTTACACAGACTGTCTACAGTGTCTATAGACCGATAGTAATCAGAATCTAACATACCATCCATGAATTCCAGAACTATTTGCAGAACTATTTTTTTTACTATTATTTGTACATGATTGGGTAGAGCTACTCGAATGGAGCAAGAAAAAGTGGTTTTTAATTTTAAAAAGAATTTCTTTTGAGGAAGTAAAATCGAAAAACATCCAAAGATCTAAAATTTCGAAAAATCCTTCAGTTTCCAAAAAATCGTAGTTTTTTTGCTTAGAAGAGTAAGAAGAACGAAAAAGAAAAAATTTCGAGAAAAAAATCTTCGAATTGTTTCAATTTTTCTTCCTTAACAGAACTATTTAAAAAATTAAAAACTGCTTTTTCTTATTCAGCTCGACAAACTTTATCCGACTATGTGTAAATGAAAGAAAAAAATAGTATTGCAAATTGGTGTCAAGATATATCTGGATAGTTTATGTCTGTCTAAAACCAGCGTCGACACATATTGCCTGTAATATTTATCCCGACATATCACAGTGTGACAACGGATACGATAAGTTTTTTATCGCAGAGAAGACATTTTTTTCTATCGGAAAAGTTTTTTTTCGGCTGTACACATTTTCTTTTTCATTCTTCAGTAAAAATATAGATAAAGTTTAACAAACAGTTGCCCTAGTTTATATATACTATTACTTTGCATCTGAGTTATACACTATTGCTTTCACATCTTCACAATACTATATTTTCATTTCGAGAAAGTTCGGTTTAGTATGTAAGTTTTACAAAAACTATTTACTTTATTTATTTTTTTGTATTCATTTCTTTTTTATTCTAGTTACATAAATGAAAATCTGGTGATTTTGAAATGATTGACTTATCATATAGTTTGATTAGTCACAGAATTATCCGACTTATTTGGAATTTAGCATTAATTATCATAATGCTGTTTATTATAATAAAGTTACCAGCTCAGAGAATTACCACACAAATCACGCAGTATTCTATTCGTTTTGTAGCTAATAAACCATTGATATTACTCTATACTCACAATTTTTCAATCAAGACGCGTGATAATATTTGTAAGGGAAAGAAAGGTAGTCATTTAGTTAATTTTGATTATTGTCCATATAAATGTGATTTTTCATGCCAACTAAAGGATTTTAATCGTTCGACGGTCGTTTTATTTTTTGGCGAAGATTTCTCATGGCCATTTCAACTGACAAATAATAATCGAACGTCTGCGAATCAAATATGGGTATTCTGGTCTTGGGAGGCGCCCATACAACATCCAGAATACACAAAAAGTGGACTCAGTTTTAATTGGTAAGTTTATGCTTGATTCTATCTTAATAAATACAAAAATGACTTTTTCTTCGTTATTAGGACAATGACATATCGTCGTGATTCTGATATTTGGCATACTTATGGTAAATATATTCACCGCAATTTATCTCGTTCGATTAACGATGCTCAGTGTGTCGACTTTTACAACTCTCCAAACAATCAGTCAACATTTAACATACCAAACGAATTTTTGAAAAGAAAAAATCGTATATTATGGATAGTATCAAATTGCAATGCTAAAACATATCGTAATCAGATAGCACTAAAATTAGGCAGATATTATCCTATTGATCAATATGGTTCGTGTACGAACAAGACAAGGTTATCTGAAGAACAGTTTGGAAAAATCTTATTTGGCTACAAATTTTATTTAGCTTTCGAAAACTCTCATTGTCTTGATTATATCACCGAGAAAGTATTCTACAACGCACTAGTTCATGGTAGTATTCCAATTGTGATGGGTGCAAGTGAAACCAATTATGTTGAATTACTGCCAAAATCCTCTTTCATGTATATTACACATTCTTCGAATTTTACAGCATTTGCTTCCGAGCTAGTGAGGATAGGTAGTGATATCGATAGATATAGAACATATCACGAGTGGCGTGCAGAGTATCGAGTTCTTACATGGCCTAATGGATATTATCTAGATGATAAATTTTGTGATCTATGTACTAAGCTACAACAAAAAACTTATCAACCTAAAGCATATACTAACTTTTCAAATTGGTTAAATAAATGCTGGAAACCATTATCGTAGCATTTTCTTACAGGCAAAGTTTTTTTGAAAAAAAACTATATGGACGTTCTTTCTTGTATTCCTATGAAATGATAAAAAGTCCGATATTTTTCAAAAAAACTTGATTTGATCCATCTGATGGAACTAAAAACTTCTTCCACACTTTTTGAATTCTGGTCTATATTAGACAGGTATGCATCGGTATCGCTATACCAAATACCTAAAATACCGACCTTTTTCAATTTGGACTTTTTCGGATTTTTTCATTTGAAATGAGATAGTTTAGCATCCTAAACACCCAGAAGGAATCAGAGATACAAAAGAAACACTTTGTTTGCTTTCTAAAGCCAAAGTTTTCCTTTATTTTCTATCTGCACACGCTCAGAATACGCAGCTGAGTGTTTTTTATGTTCTGACTATCCATGATGCTATGATATCTCATTTCAAAGAAAAAACTCGAAAAAAGCCGGTATTTTCAGTATCAGTATATACCGAAGTTTGATATTTTCGGTGTAGGATACCGATACCGCTGCATACCTAGTATTAGATTGAACACTCCTAGTGTAATAATAACCGACAACTAGCCACCCGTTATTTGGATTGTGCGCGGTTATCTGTCGATTAATCGCCAGCTATCTTTTAAAATGGAATCTAGCCTGAGAGTTTCCTTTCTGTTTTTTATAGCTGTTTTGATGTGTAATCTATAGACAAGTGTTAGCCAAGCTCACACTTCAACGAAAAAAGTAGCAGAAGCATATGTTTGAAGTAGATACTATCTAGCTTTTTTTAACGACTAGATACAAAGTGTGATTTGCGCTTATTACAACAGCAAATTAGGCGATTGTTTTTGCTGGAGAATTAATTGCAAAAGGCACATTTAATGGATTATACTCGAAGAAATATTTGAATTTCTTCTCTAACACGAAAACATTTTAAAATAATAAAGAATCTACTGCTGTTTTGAACTTCAGCAAAAAACAATAAAATTTTCGAAAAAACTTGAAATTTTCATATTTATTCTTATTTTTAAATCGTACCACAATCTGTTCAGGACGAGGAGAGATATAATAACTTTTTGCCTTCGTTCTAATTATCATACTCATGGGGGAAAAGTTAAGCATGGGTTTCGGAAACTAATGTTTTATTGCTGACGAGGAAACCTATGAACATGTCTGACTCCGATTTCGTTCGTTCATACGTCAATCGATACAGGGTATCCAGCTTGTAAAAAGCTTTGTCGTCACACATAAATTATTCATTGCATAATAGAGAACAGTCGACATCGATGTTTTCTTAGGAAGAAAACATCAAAGCTATTTTAAAGTGGCACATTAGTCAGCGCTACGTAATTCAGAGAAACGAATACACGTCAGCCAAAACGAGGTAATATTGAACAAACTTTGGTACAAACTGGTTACAGAATCACCCTCAGGATCTATAGAGCAGGATCTATTAAGCATAACAACAAGAAAACAAAAAATGTTAGTAAAATTATTTGCAAAATTATTAAAACCTATTTCACAGTATGTTTGTATTACGTACATCCTCTAAATCTAATCCTCAATTCTAACCCCGTTGGATCATAATCATCGATGTTATTCATGACAAGTGAAAATTGGTTTTATTGCGATTTCTGGTCGAGTTTTTCTTACTGATTTCTATCTCAAAATCTTCAATTTGATTTTAATATTTTGTGCCATACCTCGAAGCAGATCAAATGTATTCCAAGTAAGATTGATCGCATATAAATACGTCTCACGACCAAGCAGTTCTGACAAATCTACCATCATTAACTTGTTGATGCGTTCTTATCCGTTAAGTCTGGGCGCCATTTTGGCTGACAAAAAATTTTCTGTGTTATGGGCTTTCAGACTATCGTCGCAGCATTAGGATTGTGTTCCGGTCGTTTATATGTGATTAGAATATATAATATATTGTTTATAGACTATTCGTTTCTTTGTGTTGCGGATTTCAGCTGGTTTTCCACAGATTTTCAGGAAAACAAAATGTTAAAACTTTACTATATTAGATTTTTGTAACATTTCGGTATTTAATGTATCGCAACTAACTATACCTCTGGAAAAAATAAGTTTTCCTCGGTATTTTGAGAATATTGTTACCAAAAGAACGTATTTCTTTTAAAGTAACGACATATTCTGAAAGCCCGTGAAATTTTACATCATCCTGTATATTTTTATTTTTGTTTAGATCACTGTGTAAAAAAATTATTCCAATGAAGTGAACACACCCTCAGTACCTCATTTCCACACACTTAATACAATCATTGTTATCTCGTATAGTTTTTCAAGATTTTTTCAGTATTACAAATAAGGTTTGAAAAAAGTAATCACATATTCTGATAGAGCTTGAAATTCTCTACTACCCTATATATTTATATATTGTCTTGCATTTACTTGCTGGGAAAAAATTTGAATACAGTAAAGGCAACCTACTTCGACAAGTACAAAAAAGTGCATATTTTTCGCTACTTCTTCAGTATATTTTTCAAGTTATTATAACTATAAGAACCTAGTATATCACATGACGGATGATCTGATGTTCGTACTGTATGATGGGAAACAAAGTTTCTAATCATTACTTTATGTGGAAACTTAAAAAAAAATTCAAGAATCTCGCAGATTGATTATTAGATAACGTTCTAAGATGTAGAAGAAAAATTAGACTAGAGAGATGAGAATTAAAGTTTAAAAAAAAAATGCATCCGGGTCTTGGCGTGAAGATGCTCAGAACACGAGTGCTATGTCTCCTTTCGATGCTGAGTTATTCAAACAACAGCCAGAGTAATGACTTGCATTTTTCGACCGTAAGTTCTTATCAACATTATATCGAGGTTGTAAGGTGCAGGCACTGCAAAAATGAATGACATCTTTATTTTTAAATAAATTATACATATTCAGATTCGCCAGAGCACGGAGATCACGAAGCTCATCTTATATTTTTTATTGAAGCGAATTTTCAGGGAAAAAATGCGAAATACTGAGAAGGTTTCAAAGTCACCTAAAAGTGGGCTTTTTGAATAAAATCGATTTTCTCTAGTCCCATGAAATTTTATTGCCTTCTGGTTTTTTCCATGATGATTAGCATGGTTTTCCAGAAATCCCGTCAAAACATTTGACTAGGGTCCGGAACGGAAAAAAGTACTAAATTACTCATAAAATGACATGCTGCATCCGAATTTCGACTTAGTTCGGAGTCAATATGTATTAGTAACTGAGGATTTTGACGGAATTTCTGGAAAACCGTCACAAGAAACACCATCTGGCCAAAATCAATACCTTGCGCCTTTTGTAGCACTAGTCGAGTAGTGTGTGGACTAACAAGATCTCGAAGAACCAACGGGTAGTTTTCGAGGGAGGAGACCGGGAAGGGCCAAAGTAGGTCTCACGGCTACGCTT